AGGACTCCAAAGTTTTGAAGGTGCAGTACATAATTCATGTAACTTGTAGGACTACGGCACCTGTAAGTAACTACTGCTGGTAGCAGTAGCTGAAGAGCTGAGGCCTGTTCTGTCGAAGGCCTAGGAGGTATGCTAAATTGGGAAACAGGCTAGGAAATGAGAAAATGTCCTATGCTTCTGCCTCTCTGTCAAGGAAGGAGCCACTTGCAGTAACTTTATTTTAATAAAATTTTTCTTTGACTTTCCTGTGGTGGAGTAAGTGCAATGCATTGGAACCAATAAGGAGCAGAAGTTGATGGATCTTCTGAAAAAGCCTTAATGTCTTTTGCCATTGGATGAGTTAAGAGTCCTTCTCCTAGGTAACTTGACTATAGGCCTCTATATGAGACCTTGTCCTTCAGTTTAAAATTCAGCATGCATTTCTGTGTGCGTGTTTGTGTGCGCATGCACATGCGTTCCTTTGTAAAGGGATGTGCTTCCTTTTAAGGTTTACCTGAAGCTACCTTTACAGACTTTTTTTTCCTCCCCTCACATGTAAGGCTTGCGCATGCAGCAAGACCTCCTGTAGGGCTGCTTCTTTGTCAGAATATAATTGTGAAGTAAACCTAGGTATGAGAAAGTCAGATGTTGTTGAAATTAAGATGAAGTAAATATATATTTACATGTGCTAGTCTCTTTCCCTATGAAAAATACTGAAGATGTGGTGTTTTGCACTCTTGTATTAGTTCCTAATGTGTATAAGTTGGTTTCTACCATGTTTTGAATATTCTGTTATTGGATAGCTTTTGTAGAACAGTAGTCAAATCATTTTGAAGTCATTTATTGAGGGAATACTTGTTAATTGAGAGATGAAATGCAAACTGTTGCCCATGTGAAATTTTGGTGTGTAGAGGTAAATGACAGAAGCTTCTTGCACAAAAATTTCCCTTCGGTTGGGGCCAAGAAAATGAGGGAGAAGCTTCAGATTAATATCACAAGATGAATAAGGTACTATGGTTTTATTGGCTTATACTTGAAGCTGAGTATATGCCTCTTATGGGATGATTGGAGTTTGGTTTGGTATTGCCTGTATCTGGAAATTTAACACAGTAAAATGCAAGAAATTATTGGGAAAAAAATCTGTATAGGTGGGTAATAACTTGGAGCTTGCCCAATATACTTTAGTGGACAGTGACATGAAATCCCAAATTCTAACTGATTAAACTTGACTGGAAGAAAATGAATCTTATGGTGGTTCTTTTTTTACAAGACATTCATCTTTTAATCAAATATCTTTCTTTAAAAAGAGGGGCTTCTGCATCGTTGTTACAGTCAACTTTCACAAAAAACACTGTATGAATATAGTGTATCTGATAGGTTTAGCTCTACCACTTCATGGAAGAAAAAAATCTCTACTTTCTTGTTGTGAACTTATAAAAATTTACATTCAGAGTAATATTATGTTGCTACCAAACAGAAATCAAATTCTGCTTTGCCTTTTTTAAACTCTCTTCACTTACTAGCTTACGGGTTCCAGCTTTCTGGCAGTATAGACCTAGCTAACTGTCACTTCTCTCTCGGTTGCTTTTGGAGTTGTCGCACAGCTTTTGCTGTTCCACCAAGCATCAACAGTTCCATAGAAGAAGCAGCCAGGTTTGATGGATAGGGAAGCAGTTCTGCCTGTAGGACCTAAGATATTAGAGGGGAACCTGTGAAAGGATTTTAAGTGCCCACAATTTAAATATACAAGAACATCCTGTAAGCGTGGAAGATGCAGAGGCCAGAGCAGGATCAGTAACTCAAGCTGATGCTGGCTTCTTGGACCAGATCACCATTCTGAAAGATCTCAGCTGCTGCTTTTGTGAGACTAAATGCCTGACCATTACCTGGTGTTTCTGACCTAAATCTTTGATTGAGCTTGATTTGTCTGAGGAAAATGATGCTAAGTTGAAATGCTCATGGTGAAAAATTCGTCAGGTGTTCACCATGGATAAGTGTCTAAGATCTTTGAAAATAGTGATCTGCTCTGAAAAGCCAGCATCTCTTCTAGTTGCATTTAAATCTATGTATTTCTTAAGTCTTTGTATGCATCCCATTTCTATTATGTGAATTCTTATAGGGAAATATTACTTTACTCTCTATTAGGTTGTTAACTATTACGCTTCTGAAACATATCCTTGATGGATGTTAGGATATGCTTTTGTTCCTCTGTTGAGATTTAGAGGCTTATGAAACTATTGTGATATTTTTCTACATGTTAATCACTAACTACAGTTAGCATGTCAAGTTAATCATCAGTGAGGATTATGAATATCCTATCTTGTAGCCATGGTTATTCAGATATATTCTGTAAATCCTGCAGGGCAAGGAACTGCTTGTCTAACACTTATGAATACTGTCTAGAGCAAGATTAAGCTTAATTAGAGGTTACATTTGACAAGAAGAACCCACTGACCTCTGTAGTATCTGGTCAGGCAGTCACTCATGTCATAGAGGTTTCTGTCCACTTCTTAAGGTTGAGAGTGGGTCTCTTTAAAATACCACCAGCTGAAGCACCTCATCTATGCATAACCAAAGACACAAGGATTACTCCCAAAACAGATGAAACCTTATATGAACATTTAGGCTATAAAGGACATAAAGTATATTTAGCATATAAAGTAACGAAGCTTTAGGAGAGTGACACTTAATGTAGCTGTAGCAGCTGTGCTGTCTCATCTCATCCTAATGCACAAAGAAAGTGCAATCACCAGAAGCAATCAGCATCTCCTGGGTGTGTATCCATGGGCCTCTGTTGGATGTGAGAAGTTCCCTGGGAGAGGGGTGCTCCCTGTGTACTGCAGAGAGCTGTGCGCTTTTCCCTGAGCGGGCTGTGAATTGCCTGCCAATAACTGCAGCCTGTGAGCTCAGGAATCACTCATGTTGATCAACTTGTGGAAGATGAAACCAGCTTTGTAACCACTGTCACTGGCACCAGAAAAGGTCAAATACGTGGCTAAGCACTTACAAGAAATGATCTGACCGTTGTGGAGAGTAGATTGTAAAACTGCTTCCTCATCCCTAGCTTGCCTTCTGGCGTACCTGACATGCCTGTATCTTAAGGTACGTGAGATAGGTATGATCTGTGGCAGACAGTTTTTCTCTGAAACA